AAGCATCGCTGTCTGGTACTGGTGCTGCACCGATCACAGCCACAAAAGCAAAGACCAGGAACACAATATTCATTTTCTGAAAGAAAAGCACCAAAAGTTACAAAAACACCAACAAATGTTCTGAGTATTTACTAACTGATACTTATGGGTCTGTGTACAGAGAAATAAGGGTTTTATACTCACTGCTAGTTCCATGCTGTCGACAAGCTGATGCTTCAAAGTGGATGCTAAGTAGTAGTGTAAGAGGTATTCTGAGCCCCGACTCATCAAATCTAGGTCCTTTTGAGCATATATATGGAGTTTGTATCATCGCTACGGCACGAAGCTCATCCAATGAAAAGTTGCCGCGTGCTTGCTGGCCAGCCTGTGGCAACGCTCCAAGGTATCTAATCTAATGTAAGGACACTTACAGTGCAAAGACACATTGTCACACAAAAGATTAACTCAAAGATTGTATTTAATTTCATTTCTTCCAATATATTTGGTCCCTCAATGAAAGGAGTACTTGTTTATTTATAAACTTACTGTTGATTTTTCATACAGTTTCACTTTCAACCTCAAGTCTCAACTTTCACATTGTAAGATAAGATTCTTATAGGCTCTAGTTACTTTGTAAGCTTTAGTTACTTTTCATCCCTTTAGTCCCCTTTAGTTACCTTTATAACTCTAGTTTCCTTTAGTTACTTTTCAGTTCTTCATTTTCTTTTATTTACCTTTCATACCTTTTATTTTCCTTGCTTATACATACTAAAACTGGATTGATGACTGCTGTATGATGCTGAGGGGAACAGTAGAGACTAGATGTCTGCATTTCCTAAGTAACCAGAAAGCCTATTTACATTTTAACAGAAACATATTGGCCTGTTTCACACTCATGCCTCGACCCACTTAGCATATCCCAAGTTCTGCTTTGTCTTGGAGTGTCCTGCAGAGCCAGGGGGCCCACAACCTGAGATGACCACCTGGCCAGTTTAGCATACTTATTAGCATCACACACACAAGGGAAATGCAACTCAGGCCACCCATTGTTCGGCACCCCTTGATCAAGATCAGAGGGCCTGAGACACATACACACACACACACCTAGATTTTACCACATTCCAACAAGGAAGTGTGAGCTCCGGCTCACACCAAATGGCCAGTAGGATCACAAACTACTGAAGGTTGCACCCCTGGCCAGGGCGGAGCAGACCCAGAAGATAAATGTGATGTGAAAACTTAATTCAGGATTCAGAAGCCGGTATTCCTGCAGGAGCTCTGTCTCTCTGAATCCAGCGCTGTAAGACTCAACCTGTGATCAGACTTTCAGTAAACTTTCTGTTGATTTTAAACAGTCCGCTCCTGTCTTCACTTCTCGTGCTTCCAACAAAAGAATTGGGTATTTTCTAACAACATCATGACTCAGGAAATGTAACATGGAGAGAGTCCACGCAAAAATTATAATAAATGAAGTGGAACTCATTAAGATTAACATCAACAGAAACCAAAATTATCAGCCCTCCAGTATCCTTGTACTGGTTTCAGTACCTCTCCAAAATGCTAGTATTCTCCTGCCCAAAAAGTGATCCCAACTAACACATTGTTACTGAATGTGGTTTTCTGCCCCAGATTAGATTTATTTAACTTTTGTGGGTTATATTTTAAAGATTATCAACAATAAAGTCTGCTCTACCAGTTAAAATACCAAGGATCCAATACAACCAGTAACATGCAGTATTGACTGGCCCCTATGAATGATTACAGCTAATACCTTGATACTGAATGGGACTTTTTGCCACAGATTGCTTAAATTTCCATCTCGTGCGTTATACTTTAAAGAGCCCATGGCATGCTTTTTCTTAATTTTTTGACTTTATCTACAATGTTACAACAGTGAATTATCATCTTAGACATGACCTGAAGCTCAAAAAATGAGGTCTACTTATGGCGTTCTATTAGTTCTACGCAGAAGCAACTTGGCTTATACATGTCTCACTCACTCATGAGAGTTTTTTCTAACAAAAAATTTCTTTGAATGGTCATAATCTCCAGGCAGTTACGCATTCAGTTGAGCTTGGCTGACATCCACCTGTACCATTGTAAAAGTAGAATTTTTTTGACTGCTGGCAGTTTTGTGGATATATTTTCCCTCCTGCTGCTGCACTGTGACCAGAAGATGTGGAGAAAAATACAGGGCCTGAGGTTACTGCATGTCCGGGAATGTTTCTTGTACAGGAACTTACTGTTTTAACTCACGGGGTCCAACCTACAAGCAGCCGACCTGTGAAGCGCCCCATGGCAGTGAATGATCAGCTCCTCAATGCTCGATTCCCCTGGAGCACAGTACCTTTTGATTTGACTGCTTAAGGCCAGTGTGTCTGTTGCATGTGATGTGTCGCTGGTTAACAAGTGGATTAACGATCGATTATGTTATTGTTGGCGCTACACTACCTGTTGGAATTAATTTCACTACTTTGGGACTGTATGTGGTCGCATGAGGGAAGATGCAGCGACCACCAGTTGGATTTACCGACCTTGGAGCTACTTGAAAGAGAGTGATGGTTTCCACTACTCAGTGGGACATAAATTAAAAAAAACACAAGTTGCATGTCTGTTAATGTGTTGTTATTGTAACGTTAGAGAGAACTGTTGTAAGGCTGGAGAAGTTGCTATGTCTGTATTATGGCAGTTAAAATATGGGATTTCTCAGTTACCTGCTTTGTTTAGTGTGTTACACATCTCTTTTCATTGGTACATATGCTGTTGTTTACCTATTTGTGGAGGAGAAATTCAAATGAATTAATGGCGTAGTGGATAAAGCTAATCTAGAGGTACCCAAGATTAAATATTAAATGGCTGGAAATGAGCCAAATGAGCATGCCATGGGCTCTTTAAAGATTATTAACCATCCAATACTTTTGCACCAGTTTCAGTACCTCTAAAATAATAGTATAACCAGTAAATTGCAGTATTCTCCTTGCCAGAAAGTGAATACAACTAATACTTATTACTGAAACGGTTTTCTGCCTGCTACTATAGGAGCACTATTTAAGGAGATGCTCGGGGAAGGGACAAACAACCGTTTGGGCCATACAGGGTGGAGGACTTGCTGGAATTAAAATATCTTATCCTGTTTTTATTTTACAGGAATGTTTCCAAGACGTTCCTACAACTGCTGCCTGATATAAACAAACAAATGATCAAAACATTAGGTTCTTTTTCTCAGGACATGCCTGGACATGAACTAATGAATTGAAACTTTTAGATGACATCTCGTCAGCTAAAGCAAATACTACATGTGTCACTTCAGCACACACGTGGTTATGAGCTATAGGGAAATGGTCAAATATTTGTATTTTCACTTTGGTCTTCAGATATTTGTTTTTCAGCAGCTTGTCCGAGCCCCGAGGGTCAGGCAGACTGGCTGATGTGTTACTTAGAAAACAGAAGAAAATATTTCATCAGCATGTTCAGTAATGCACGAGTTAAAGAGGATTTTGCTCATTTTAATAGCTAAATGTGCTCATATACAACAATGTACAGTATCTTCGTTGTTTCATCCTGGATAGTGGCTCTGACGCTCACTAATCTTTGTACAGTCTCAGGATGCTGGACTTGGGGTGAAACCCACCATGCCCTATTGTTAGAATTGGATTTCAGGAGTTGCAGTTGTTTTATTTACTGTTAGTATTATTTTGCTTTATGATGATAAAGTTTAGTATGACTGTTTGTGTTTTATTAACAGCACCATGTATCAGTATTAACCTGGTTCTTATACATGCATAATAGTTATAATTTTCAGCTGCAGGTCAACTTGTAGTATTTCTTATTTTCTTGGATAATTGTGCAAGAGTAAATTGCATAGATAAGTGTCGTCTTGGAAACTATAGATAAGATACTGTTAATTTATGCTATTTTACAGATGTGAAGTCTTTTCATTCAGCTGACTTCTCAGGACTTGCCTTACTCTCTGCAGGTACTTGGCATATGATCAGATGACAAGAGGGCTTCAGTCCTATAAAAATATTTTTGTATTGTATATCAGAGAGATTTTCACAATTAATCTGTGAGAGAGCATATGCCATAAAACATTTTTTTGGTTTACACACAAGGATTAATGTTTATTTTCTGATGCTGCAGCAAACAGCCATAGAAGCCCTGTTGACAAAAGCACAGGATAATTATTTTAATTAGACTTTTGGTATTTTCAGACACAATTCTCGCACACCATCAATTTCTGGTCTTAGGGTTGAAGAGATCTAAGCAATGTGACCTTAGTGATATTTATGTATTTTACTATATGATGAATTCAGTAAGACCTCCAGATTATGTGCTATAAAAATGAACTCACTGACCCTGAGTATGTGCATACACCAGGTGTGTTTCTTGACCTAATACATAAAGTGTCTAACCAATGTCCATCTGACTAAAAATACCTAACAAGGTCAACCCCTACCTGTGCTTGTTTGCAGATATGTGATCTAGACCAGGTGTGTGTGTGTGCGTGTGTGTGTGTGTGTGTGTCTCAGGGGGCGGCTGGGTCTTGATCAATGAGCGCGGAACAAAGGGTGGGCTGGGTT